TGGTAGCAAGGCAAGGATGTCTGTTCTCATCACTTTTTTTATAGAGACAAGGTCTCTCTCTTCTGTGTCACCCAGGCTGGAGTGCAGTCGTATGATCATAGCCCACTGTAATCTCTAACGTCAGGGGTTGGGGCTCAAGTGATCCTCTTGCCACAGCCTCCTGGGTAGCTAGGACTACCACCATGCCGGCTAATTAAATTTCTTTCTTTCTTTCTTTCTTTTTTTTTTTTTTTTGTAGAGACAGTATCTCACTATGTTGCCCAGGCTGGTCTCAAACTCCTGGCCTCAAGTGATCCTCCTGCCTTGACCTCCCAAAGCACTGGGATACGGATGTGAGCCACCGCACCTGGCCCCTCAACCTTTTAATTTAACATTACACGAGGTCTTAGCCATTTCAGTAAGGCAAGAAAATGAATTTGTAAGTGTAAAGATTGGAAATGAAAAAGTAAAATTGTCTGTATTCCCAAAAGACATATTGTTTATATAGGAAATACTAAGGAATAATCTTAAAGGCATTCTTGAGCTAATATGTGAGTCTAGCTAGGTTTCAGGATACAAGGCACACAAAAATAAATTATATTGCTATATGCTAAAAGACAACAACAACACAATTGGCATATGAAATTTTAAAATTTTCATCACAATAGAATCCCAAACCACGAAATACTTAGGAATAAATCTGATGAAAGATGTGCAAAACCTCTATATTGAAAACTACAAAACATTGCTGTGAGAAATTAAAGACCTAAACAAATGGAGGGGTGTGAGCGGTGATGGACTGAAGGGTCAATGCGTTAGGGTGCTTATTTTCTCAATTAACCTATGCGTTCAATGCAATCTCAATTGTTATCCCAGAAGGCTTTCTCATAGTAATTGATAAGCGGATTCTAAAATTTATATGGAAATGCAAACAACCTAAAATACCCAAAGGAATTTTGATAAAGACCAAAGCTGGAGGACTTACATCACCTTCCTTTAAAGCTCACTATAATGCCACAGTAATCAAGATAGTGTGATGTATAAAAATTGGCAAACAGATCAATGAAACGCAACTGAATGCAGAAATAGACCTGCGCTAACATGGTCTATTGGATGTCAACAGAGGTGCCAAAATAATGTAATGGGAGGACGTATTCTCAACAAACAGTGATGGAACAATGGGATGTCCACATTAGAAAAAAGCAAACCTTGTCTCCCACCTTGTATCACACACAAATAATCAAGAATTAAATACAGACCTAACTATAAAGTCAAAAACTATGAAGCTTTTTCAGAAGAAAACATTGGTGAATATTTTTTGTGACATGAAGAGAGGCAAAGATTTCTTAGATAGGACAGAAAAATTAACCATTCAAGGAAAGCTGATAAAGTTGACTTCATAAAATTCAAAATGGCACATTAAAATATACTACTAATATGAATAGATAGAAAGTATTTGCAATACCTATACCACAATGAACTCCTATAAACCAATGAAAATGAGAGAACTCAAAAATGAGTAAGATATTTGGACAGACACTCCGCAAAGGAAGGTATATGATTGACCAGTGAGCAAATGAAGATGTGATCAACATCTTCAGTCATCAGCAAAATGCAAGTGAAAATGACATCTACTGTAATGGTTCAAATAAAAAGACACTCAACACCAGCTGTTGGTGAGAATGTGGAGAAAGGGGAACACTGATATATTTTTTTGGTGGAACAGTACAATGGCCCCACTGCATTTGAGAAACAGTTTTTCAGTTGAATTTTTATAATCTTAAACATGTACTTATCTCTTAACCCAGCAATTCCACTCCTAGATATTTATCCAAAAGAAACGTAAATATGTGTTCACAGAAAGACTTATAGAAGAAAACATTGCAGCTTTATTCCCAGCAGCCCCCAAACTGGAAATAACACACACACGCCCATTAGCAGGACAAGGATTAAGGAAATTGTGGGATTTTCATATTGTGGAATACTACACCACAGTAAGAAGAAACAAACGACTAATACATTTCACAATATAAATACATCTCAGATGTTATATACTCGGTATAACAAATGTTATACTGAGTGAAAAAGCCAACACAAAAGAGTACATATTCCACTTATATGCAGTTCTGGAACAGAATTAATTCAAGCTGAAAAGAAGTTATAACAAGGGTTACCTCTGGTGCGTGGTACTGAATGAAAAGTGCTATGGATGAACTTTGGGGGAGATGAAAAATGTTCACTATTTGACACAGATATGGGTTACTCTGATTTATCTATTTTTCCCAAACTGTACAGCTAAGATGTGTGCATTGCAGTATATGTAAATTTTACCTAAAACAACTAAACTTTAGTGGGCTGTGGGAAGTGGGTAGAGTTAGGGATAAGAATAGCAGAATGTTTAAAACTGTTCAAGGTGAGTGATGAATGCATTTGGGTTCATTAAATTATCCTATTTATGTTTGAAAATTTCCACCATAGAACGTTTAAAAATCATGAAGTATAAAAAATTAAGTATATTATGCAACATTATGGCAACAAAGAATGTTGAAATTTTAGTGGCATAGAAAATATTTGTGATAAATGAAAAAAGGAACTTTAATTAATTAGCTATTTATTTATTTGTTTTGAGACTGAGTTTTGCTCTTGTTGCCCGGGCTGGAGTGCAGTGGTGCGATCTCTGCTCACTGCAACCTCTGCTTTCCAGGTTCAAATGATTCTTCTGCCTCAGCCTCCCGAGTAGCTAGGATTACAGGCGCCTGCCATGATGCCTGGCTAATTTTGCATTTTTACTAGAGATGAGGTTTCTCCATATTGATCAGGCTGGTGTCGAACTCCCGACCTCAGGTAATCCGCTCACTTCAGCCTCCCAAAGTGCTGGGATTACAGGCATGAGCCACCACGCCCAGCCATTGTTTTGTTTTGTTTTGAGAGATAGGGTTTTGCTCTGCTGCCCAGGCTGAAATGTAGTGGCTCAGTCATAGCTCACCGCAGCCTTGAACTCCTGGCCTCAAGCGATCCTTCCCCCTCAGCCTCCCAAAGCACTGGGATTACAGGCATAAGCCACCATGCCCAGCCCTCCAAAAGGAACTTTAAAACAGAACATTTTGAAAAGAAACATATTGATGTGTAGAAAGTCACTGAAAAACTGCATTCTAAAGTATAAGCAGAGTTGTGTCTTAGTAGTGGGATTACAGGTAATTCTTGCATACAGTTACATCTAATTCAAGCCACAGACAGCGTAGGCGTTGGCTTATTCCATGTCTCCATCAGTGCAGAGGAAGGCACTGAGGTGAACCCAAGACCCGGGAGGGATATATTTACTTCTTCCCATGGTTCAGGTAGCTGAGGGATTCTGAGGCATGAGTAAATACTCAGGGAGTGTGCACAGCGGTTTCCTGAGACTTCAGACAGAAAAACAAGTACATATTTCATGTAGATTCATTTAATACTGTCTTGTGTGTATGTTTCATAATGATCATGATATGTTAATTAGTACAGTTGACAAAGAAAAATACACACATTACAATTTGGGACTGAAATATTTTCTCTCTGATTGAGTGAACAAAACAATCTGAGGACACTGATTTGGAGAATAGTTGAGCTGTGCTTGAAGAGCGCCCTGGGAAGGCACTTTGAGAAGGCATTTCCATCTGGGAATAGGGTGAGGCCCTGCGGGGCCCCTGGAGGGGGTCTTTGTCTGGTGAGTTGAGAATGCATCTGGTTCCCATTGTGGGTCAATGGACAGAGACTGACTGACCTGAGCCAGAATGCTTCTCAGAGCCACGGCCAGATTGTCGTCACGAGGGCTGTCGTCATGAGGGCTGTCCCCAACCTGACCCGGGTGCAAGTGGACATGGAGGTATCGTTTACCCTAAAATCATCTAAATTTAGAGTTCAAGAGCTTTCCATCTTGAAGGCAGTTTTGATGCACATTTAAAAATTTGAATATACACATAGTACTACATTGTCTATACATGCCACATTTTCTCTATCCACTTGTCCATTGATGGACACTGGTTTCCATAACCTGGCTACTGTGAGTAGTGCTGCAGTGAACATGGGAGTATAGACAGCTCTTCAACACACGGATTGCAATTCCTCTGTGTACATGCCCGGTAGAGGGATTGCTGGAACATATGGCAGTTCTATTTTTAGTTTTTTGAGGAAACTCCATACTGTACTGTATGTTTAAAAATTGCTAAGAGTAGATTCTTTTTTCTTTTGTGACTTACATGGACCACAAAATCAAGAATAGCAAAGGTGATGTCTCACAACATCCCTTGTCCCAACACCAGAGCAAGAGACAATACCAGGACATCAGAGGCAGGTTATAATGCAACATGAGTGGTGCGGTTCCCGTGGCCGACGAGTTAATTTCATGCTGTCACTAACAGTGTCATAGTCTACAGCTAGACCCTGCAGAGAAGGCAAGCCCCAATTCATCAGACTGCATCAGGACTCAGGAGGAAGAGATGCAAACTCTCTCAGAGATAGTTTCTGTGAGATAGAAGGTAGGTGAGAAATGGCCTGAGAGCAGCTCCTCGTAACACTCCAGAAGAGTCACAGGGCGTCCTACATCAGTATAAGAGAGGCTGTGGCTAAGCCTTTCTTATGTGGCATGAAAGTAGATTCTTAAATGTTTTCACCACAAAAAAACTAGTAAGTATAGGAGGTGATGTACATGTTAATTAGCTTGACTTAATCATTCTACAATGTAAACAAAAATCAAAACATCACATTGTACCCTATAAATACATAAATTAGTGCCTGTTAAAGTAAAATTTAAAAAATGGAATGTAATCAGTTTAATTCTAATTGTAAAGTCACTAATATTTCTTGTGCAAAATAGCTTTATGTTCTAGTGTAGTATCCCATATAGTTCCCTTGTGAACATGTACTTAAGATTCTTGATTTTTTTTTTCTACTCAGACTCTGCCAGAAAAACACCAATAAGAAAACTAAAAACAACCACCCAAATGCTACACCTCTAATAAGAAGAAACTCAGGAAATAAAGGAGAACTTAATAACTATGTGTTCCTTTAATGATTGGTAAAATATTGCAAAAAATGAAATTTACATGAGACATTTTCTGGTAATTTCATTTATCTAATCCAAGATTATCATGGTAAATTGCTCAGGGAGATACTTTAGCACAGTACTCAGAAAATTAGCTATTAACTGAATTACTAGGAAATTTAACTGCATAAACAGTGAACTGTGAATATTTTTTAAATACCATGGGTGTGATGAAAATAATTATTTAACAACCGAAACAGAGAAGCAGCATTTGGACAAGCTGATGAAGCCTGAGGCATCTCACAATTTTCAGATCTCTTGGCTCCCATTCTGGTCACTTCGCATCTCACACCAGCCTCCTGCTGTGAGCACCCAATGTCATGACTCACGCTACACATGGTGTGCTGCTGAATAACCTATGGGCATGTATGTGTTTGGAAGGGGGTGTGTGTGTGTGTGTGTCTGACCGCTCACTGGTGTATTTCTAGTGCCTAGAACATTGCCCCAGCACACACTAGGTACTCAGTAGATACCAGTGCTTATCAGCTATAGTGCTGTGTCTGACACATCATCTCTCAGAAACTTCTCTTTTTGTTTAGTTTTATTTTCCTCAAAGTTATATACATATCATTTAGAGTCAAATTATTCTCTAATGTGTATGAGAAACTAGCTTTCCTCTGCCAGTCTTTCCACCCATTTCTTACTCTCAGGAAGCAACCAATTTCAACTTTCTTAGCTCTTCTTTTTTAAAAAAATTATCTTATTCTTTTGATTTCCGTGTTGACATTCCTACATCTTGATCATTTCATTTCAGGCATAATCTTTGGGCCTCCCATTAGGGAATATGGGAATTCAGCTCCCGTTATCACCTCTTGCTCACCCTCCATGCCAAACCCGACCCTTCACATCACACTCCCTTGTCATGCCCTCTTAGAAATCCCAAGAGAGTGTCACTGAAACTTAGTTAGATCACCATTTGGTATTTATTATGACTAGTTAAATCACATTTACCAGTCAGTTAGTAAAACAGAATCGCTTTTCCACTTCTACATGCTTTTACGTTTCCTCTGAGTAAGTAATCCCTTTCGTCTATACTGGTTTTCTATGTTCTTATTACTAATTCCACTCCACATTCTGCCCCCCTCCCTCCACCAGCATAAGAATCTCCTCTGATCACATTCAAACACATTTGCATGATCAATTTTGTCTTCTTTCAGAAGTGGCTCTCGGTTTCCGTCTGCACCCACCTGGATGGGTGGTGCCCTCCGCCTGTTAGCTTGTTGGAAATTGTTGGGGCTCTCTCTTCACAAGGAAATGGCCTCAGCCTAGATATTTTCACTCCATTTCCATTTTTTTTTTCCTGTTTTATGACATGGTTGAAAACACAAAATTTAATTATTACATAACACTTCATCATTAAACATACGTTATTTTTGTTATTCATTCTGATGTTTTCCTTAGCAAATGTTGCTAGAAGCAGTATTATTGGTCTAAATGAATTAATTTTAAAAAGCGGACTTTGTTTTTTAGGGAAGTTTTAAGTCCATAGTGAAACTGAGCAGAAGGTACAGAGAGTTTGCACACACCCCACCCCACACGTGCAAAGCCTCCCTCCCTGTCGACATCCCTGGCTAAGTGGTGGTTTTTTTTACCACTGATGAGCCTACATTGACACACCATTGTCACCCAGATTCTGTGGTTTATATTAGGGGTCATTCTTGGCATTGTACATTCTATGGGCTTGAACACAATTTTTTTTTTTTCCAGATGGAGTTTCGGTCTGTCGCCCAGGCTGGAGTACAGTGATGTGATCTCGACTCACTGCAACCTCTGCCTTCCAGGTTCAAGCGATTCTCCTGCCTCAGCCCCCCGAGTAGCTGGGATTGCAGGTGCGTGCTACCACACTCAGCTAATTTTTGTATTTTTGAGATGGGGTTTCACCATGTTGGTCAGGCTGGTTTTGAACTCCTGACCTCAAGTAATCCGCCTGCCTGGGCCTCCCAAAATGCTGGGATTATAGGCATGAGCCACTGCACTTGGTCCTGGGCTTGAACAAATTTATAATGACACGCATCCATCATTAAAGTATCATACAGAATAGTTTCACTGCCCGAAAAGTCCTCCTTGACTTGCCTATCACCCCCTCCCCCAATCCCTGGCAACCACGAACCTTTACTGTCTCCACAGGTTTGCCTTTTCCAGAAGGTCATAGAATTGGTTCCATACAGTGTGTGGCCTTTTCAGAGTGACTTCTTTCATTCAACAATATGCATTTAAAGTTCCCCCATGTCTTTTCATGGTTTGATAGCTCATTTCTTTTAGAGCTGAGTAATATTCCATTATTTGGATGTACCACAGTTTGCCATTCACCTATGAAGGGCATCTTGATTGCCTCCCTATTTTGGCGATTATGAATAAAGTTGCTGTAACATTGTGTGAGGGTTTGTGTGTAGACATGGCTTTCCAGCTCATTTTGGTAAATACCAAGAAGAGCCGTTGCTGAGTGTGGTGTCACTCTTGTGTTAGAGAGCATCCTCTATTTTCTGCTGCTGTGGATTTCTCTTTCTTTACTCCTTCTGCTTTGTAAAAGACACTCCGCCCACATGTTGGTGACCCCAGGTTTCCATCTGTAGTCCTCATTTCTTCCCCTGGGTTCCAGGCTCCTATACTTAATTGACATCTCCTTTTGGGTGTTTAGTGGGCCTCTTGCTTTAACCTGTGCAAAGTGGATTCATACTCCCTCCACCAACTCAATTCCATTTCCTCTCTTCCCCGACTCAGAGAAAGACGCCACGGCCCATCCAGGGCTCAAGCCAAATAACTGGGACGCTTCCTGTCTCTTTCTCTTGCTCCACGTTCACTCAGTGATCAAGTCCTGTCACTTCCACCTTCAGTCTGCAGCTCACATACTTCCAGTGCTGTCTCCATTCCCTCAACCCTTGTTCAAATGGCTACCTTGTTGCACTTCATTTTCTGTAGGAACTTGATCCAAATGATACATCTTCTAAACCTTCGTTTCCCCTTGCAGTTGGAATGACAGCCCTGCCTCCTCTCCCCGGACTGCGCACCCTGCAGCTCTGGTTCTGCCCCTCTCTGATTCATGCCACTCTGCCACTAACCTTGTAAAATGTCTCTGTTGCTCTCTCAGGCTTTCTTTCTTTTCCTTAAATACCAGGTCGGTTTCTGCCTCTGTGCCTTTGCAATTGCCCTCTTCTCTGCCTGGAATGCTTTCCCAAGCAGTGAGTGACTTTTTAGCATGGCTGAAACTCTTGAACAGGGAACAGGAACTAAACCCAAGCTCCTTGGAGGTAGGAAGCTTGTTTTTCTAATTCACTGTAAACCCGAGTGTCTAGCAGTGAATGAATGAAAGTTATTTTAATCATGGTCTCCCTCAAAGGAAGAAGTGACTGGGCGAAGTGCTGAGAAGAGAGAGCTGAGAAGCATTCACAAGGAAAGTGGGGCATCCCCCACCCTATCTGGCCACCCATCCCCAGAGCAGATTCTCCAAGTGTGGGGAAGGAGAGGAAGAAGGTGACATGCCCTGCTTCCTGGGTGCAACACCAGCACTGCAGCAAGACCCAGAGGGACAAGTCTCCGAGCTCCTGCTGCAGTTTGAAAACAGAGTCACTGACAGCCCATGTGTCTTGGAAGTAGCAGACAGCGCCATCAGACCTGAGGGGCCACGTGGCCACGCATGAGGAAAGGCCCTGTGGGCAGGGGACTCGAAATGGACGGTCATCACAGCCAGCATCACGGCTCACAGCAGCTCTGACAAATTCCCAGGGAGGGGCTGGCGAGGGAAGGTGCTATGCTATGGCAGGCTCCCCGGGCTTGCGAGGGCCTGGCATTTGCAACCTTTTCTACGCCACCCTGCCCCAGTGCAGGGACATCATATTTGTAGCTTGGGATTGGCCACAGGTGGGAGTATTTACATCATGAAAATTAGGAAATATTAGAAATAAGAGCTTTTTCTTTTCTCCTCTTGTCCTCCCTGGAGATCCTGGCTTGCCAGCATTCCACTGGGAACAGACCTGTAACTGGCTGAGCAGTTCATTCAGTGTGGGAGAGGTGAGGTCTCTAAATCTAAATGGAGTTGCAGGAAAGTACATTTTATTCTTCGCATGCATAAAAAAATGTTAGTGTTTTTTTTTCATCCTGGAAATAGTTTTAGGTGGCTTTTCTCAGAAGCACACCAGAGACAGTCTTAGGTGCAAATGATATGTTAAGGAAGTTCCCCCAGGAGAAATCAGAGAGTAGGTGACACCAGTTGGGAAGGAGCCACGCCAGGAAGTTGATACAAGTGCAGGGTCAGCTGCCGCGGGTCCTTGGGGAGCCCTGGGGCCCAAGTTCCTCTGCAGTCCTGGTGCAGGGCTTTCCGACACCTGCACCCCTTGGTCATCACTACCGGCTGTGGGCTGCTCACGGGACCAAACGTTCCCAGGTACTGCCACCTCTCAGCGCAAAGGCCTCCTTAGCTGAAGGGGCTTCTTAGCATAGTCTCAGAAGGTTGCAGAAGCTGGGGACAGACCTATGTAGGATATAGTCAGAGCAGAGACAACACCTCTGCTGGGGTAGCCCCAGGAAGATGAGGCTGAATTATTCATACTCTTTGGTTCTTGGCCCATTATCATCCCTGGTCTGTGCAAGACCCCTGCACCTCATTTCTCATCTTTCCTGCTTTATGCCTAGCCCCCACTCCCATTTATCCCATGGGCACCCACTCTAATGTGTTGGGGGTCAGTACCCATTACAATATGTGGCGTGTGTAAAGCCTACAGTTTTACCTGGAGTACCTATGTGTCGGGGGGTTGTGGTAATTCAGATAGGCTTCAGTTTTAGGAATGCGCCCTTCCATGCATGGGGAAAGGAGCCAGGTGGAGCCCCACTCCCTAAAAGTATAGGAAAAGCAGCTGCACAGTTTGGTGCCGCCTGACTCCAGGACAGAAACAGGGTCGTCTGCATCAGAAACACGGTGGGTCCACTGGGTGTGGCAGGCTTTGGCAACATCCTGGCAGCTGTCCAGGGCAGAGCACCCATCCAGTGTTGGAAATGGCTGAGGGAGATTCCCGGCAGCGCTCTCTGCGGAAGCCCGGCACGGCTTTGGCCAGCATGGGAGCCTCTGTTCACGGCGGCAGCTCCCTGTAGGGAGGTGGCGTTAGGAAGGGTTTGGGAGGGTTCCTAGTCCTGGGAACAACAGCACCACCAAATGAGTGATGGATCATTGAAGAAAGTCGAAATATTTTACCCCAAAATATATTTCTTTGACTTCTTTTGAAATGGCTGCTGTAGGGCCAGCAGACTGAAATGGCCCCGCAAACCTGTCTTGTGGGAGAAACTTGCCTCTGTACAGAATCTACGTTGTTGCAGTCGGGCCTTCCGTTTCTAGGCCTTTCCCCAGTCTAAGGGAGACTGAGACTCTGACACTTCCAAAGGTCTGAAAGGAAACGTTTACCATCTATTTCCTCTGGGGCTATATTATGAGGGGCTTCATCTAGACCAGCTCTGCTGGCCATAACCTGTCCTGTCTCCAAAACCTGGTTTCGGCCATGCTCTGAGCCCGCATTCTTTCTATAACCTCAAGATGGTCTAGAAACTTCTGTACCTTACCGGGGGGGGGGGGGGGGGTGTTGGGACTTCATTCTGAAGGCTCCTGTGGATACACGTTAAATAAATTTGTATGCATTTTATCCTATTAATCAATCTGCCGTGTGTCAGTTATTTTTCAGAGAACCTTCAGGGGCCAAGGCAAAAGCTCTCCCTTGCCCCCCACGTCTGGACCCAGACATCAAGCCAGACGCCCAGGAGCAGGCAGGCAGGGCCGAGCCTCCGGATCTGCCCAGATACACGCTCATTCTTACTGTAGTGGTTCCCAGAGAGCCTAGTGGCAAAGACCCAAGAGGGAGTTTGTTTCTCCCGGTTCAGAGATTGCTTATTACAGGGTCAAAGACTCAAAATCAAAACCTGCTCTGTGGTAGTAGCTCCAGCCTGTTATCCATCATCTCTGATGGCTGGGGCTCAGCCCACTGCCTGCCTCACTTGGAGGCCACAATACCCCTCTACCAGCGTGGGCCTGGCTGGCGTGTGTGTGCTGACTCCATCCCTTTAGCCATACTTAATCGGGTCAGGGTGGAGCCTGGACTGTAGGTGAATCCTTCTATGTACAAGAGTTAGTATCACGAAAGCCAGTGCCCCTCTGTTTTGGTGTGTGGGAGCTGTGGGGCAGCCCAGGGGCGTCAGGGGACGCCGGTCACGGAGAGAAAAGAAGGACACGCGTGCTCAGAGAGGAGCAGAGTCAAGACCTGGACAGTGCTGGGGGTTTCCAGGTGGCGGCTCCAGGCCCTTCTGAAGCCAGCCGTGATCTCGGCCTTGCTCTCTGACAGACACTCCGCCGTCTTCACAATGAAAGCCATCATTGTTGTCTTTCCCATTTTCTGTCTTGGGGACTTCCTCTTCATCTACCCAATTTAACTCAAGCCCCTTTTCTTTAGAGGACGCCCTCCAGACCTTTCTAGGCTGCTGGTTGCTTCCTTCTGTGTTTTCACAGAGCACTTTGCCTAGGTTCCCCTGAATTCCTTAAAGGTGTGGTGTCTAAATTTGTCTTCGTAGCGCCATCGTGTATTACAGAGCTTGACAATACAAAGAGCGTAAACAGAGCCTTAGAATGAGCTGCTTAGAGCGACGTCTCAAAGTGATAAAATAAACTCCTGGCGCCTAACAGTTAGCAAAATTTTCAAGAAATTTGGCTATGAAGAAGAGAGAGTGTGGTATCCGGGGGGAGGATGAAATGATATATCAAATGACAAGAGGACCCAGGCCAGCAGGAGGCCCGGTGAGCTCGGCAGGGAGAGGGCAGCCATCCAGGGCAGAGCTGGCTTCAGAGCACCTTTATGTGAGAATGTGTGATACTTGATTTTCTGCTTCCATAGCAAAATATTCTTAAGAAAGACTATCGTGTGGTCCTGAGCTGTTTTTGACAGCATATTTCCGTGGGTCTTCAAAAGGCTTGGGTGTTGAGGAAGCTCAAGATCCGCACGTGAAGATAACCGCCAGCCCTCAGCCCCAGTTAGAAACCTTCAGAGAACCCGCGAGGTCTGGGCTGAGACCGGAGAGCTCAAGGAGAGTAAGAAGAAAAAGATGGGTGGAGCGGCTGAGCACAGCTTGGATCGCAGCAAGAACCCCGAGGAGGTTCTGAGTCAGTGGCAGTTGCAGGGGCAGTTGCTGGTGGCAGTTGGACGTGCAGGCAGTTAGAGGCGGTTCCGCAGCCGTTGGAGGGGAGGACGGTGCCCAGGGAAGTTGAGCACCAGCAGGGCTGCAGGCCACAGGCTGGGGCTGGGGGAGAGGGAAGGTCGAGAGAGCGGCAAACTGTCCAACTCCTCCCTCTTCATGCTCCGCAGTTCCCCAGCCACGTGCTTGGTGTAAATGAGGAGAGCTGGAGGGATTAGCTTGCAGGGTGGGGTCCAGTTGCCCTGAAGGGCAGGGAGCGGGCAGAGACGGGGTGCAGGGGATGGCACTGGAGGCCCAGTCCACCCTGTTCACCGCCCCCCCTACATCGGGCTGGCACTCTGCACATTTAGGGTGCGGCCAAGCCTCAGCCAGCAGAAACGAGTCTGGTCTCGCTGACCGGCCTGGCCAGCTGGCGGAGAAAAGGAGAGGACGGTGTCTCTAGGGAGATCCTGGGCCTGGGCGGCAGTGTCTATCTAATCTATTTGGCTTCTGTCTCTTGAGTAGCCCATCTGAAATGAGGAAACGGCCAAGAGGCCCCAGGGCTCAGGTCCACCACCCACGCCCCCATTCTCACAGCCCTGCTGGGCCAAGGCATCTCTCGAGTGGGCCGCACTGACCGTTTTTCTTGGTTGCTTGCCTGACTCCAATCTACTCTCCACAAAGCAGTTAGAATTAGCAAACAGACGACAGCCACGTCTGCCTCCAGCCCTGCTGTGCTGCCGGTGGCTAGCCACCTGCCCCAGACCCCACAGCCATGGCTGGTCACCTGCCTTAGAGTCCACAGCCCTGCTGGCCGGTCACCTGCCTCAGAACCCACAGTCAGCTCCTGCCTCCTGCAGATGTCATCTAGGGCTCAGCAAAATGACCTCTCATTTTCCTATCTCACAGTGCCTCCCTGCCGTGCTCTGGCTCTGTATCCTGTTAATTTATTTCTAGTCCTTGTCATAAAGTATGAGCCTTTCTCTGTTCAGAATCCGTTAGAGGCCCTGTGTTATTCATCCAGCACTTAGCATACATGTGGTGCAGAAGGTGCAAATTAGTCTTGTAGAAGAAAATAAAATCTTGGGACCCCCAAACTCAGTGTGCCAAAGGGAAAGTTGCGCCTGTGAAGTGAGTCACACAATACTACCTTTCTTTTGTTCCTAGACAGACAGCGGCAATTTCACGACCCTGTGTCACAGCCTCATCCATCAGGCAGGTTCTCACACGGCCTCTGTCATGAATAGCTCACAAGGAAGTGGAGCCGTTTGTCTTAGTGCCTGCCCTCCCTCCCTTCCTTCCTGCTGGGTTTTTTGTTTTTTGTTTTTGTTTTTGTTTTCCCTTTAAATACTGAGTCTCCACAACCGTCTTTGGAAAGCTGAGATCACAGATAGTCCTGTAACTCATGATTTTCCTGGGCACATCCCCAAACTCTGGTTAAATCAACCTCTGTCGATTGAGACTCCCGCCTCAGTCACATTCGGTTAGCAGACTCTGGCTTAAACGTTTTGGTGACTTTGACTTTTATATGCTGAAACTACAGCGGGCAGTCAGATTTTGGAGGCTCCTGGCATTTCTGCCTCTTTGGCCTAATCTTTTCCATACTGACACCTCTCTCTCTCTCTCTCTCTCTCTCTCTCTCTCTGTCTCTCAGACCCCGCTGACAGACTTGTTGCTACCAAACACAGCACTCTGGTTTCTCTTTCTCTAAGTTATTTTCAGGATTCATTTTGCCACTGAACTTTTTTTTTTTTTTTTTTTTTACTTGATGACATGTCTTTTGTCGACAACTGACGTCTGCTGAAGGCAGAGGTGCTCCCTGGTTCAGGCATGGATGTCTAATATCTCATGGACCCTGACGTTATCTTCCACATTGGTTTCTGATTTTGTTCCGTCACTCCCCAAAGTGTGTTTGCTGAGATGCAATAACCCATTCAACAAAATATTCCTTGCAACAGGAATTGTTGCACTTTCTTATAAATGTTTAGGTTTGGCGCAGGCCCTTGCACCCGAAGACCACCAAGGGAAGGTGAAAACGCCGCAGCCCCCGAGCCACAGGCCGTGAGCTGGAATTTAGCTCTCTGTTTGCACAGCTTTGACGACAGAGGCTTAGACAGGCCACCTCTCTGTCTCGACTGGCAAAACAGGAGCGGGGGAGTCCAGCAGTGTCTTCTCTCTTGGAGGGTTTTGCAGGGATCAAGTGAGATAATGTCTGGGAGAGTACTTTTGTAAAAGGCAAATAGTTGCACTAAGACAGGTCCAGTCTTTTCTAATTTAAAGCAGTGTGTAAATGGTATGTCCTCAGACGGTTGCCTGAGTGAACAATTCTAAGTGTTTTCTTTTGCGCACTTAATAAAGCTCACATTTATGTCAGTCAAGATATAACTTCCTATTTTTTTCTGCCAGGGTATGTTACAACATCACGCTTCCAAGCAAGGCCCAGGCTGGCCCAGATGGGACGCGAGTCCCCCGGTAAAGATCAGGGGCTCTTCTGGGGGTCCCACCTGAGGGATCTGGTGCATAAAGTCAGGCTTGGTTGTAGGCCCCCAACAAGACATAAAACCTGTACAGGTCAAGAAGCGACACATCTCTGGCCTGTGAGCCCCTCATGTGCCGGGTGGCACTGAGGTCATGATGGCACTATTGCTAAAAGACAGACATAACGCCAATGACTTCAGTCATTTTCCTCATTTTATGTGGCTATTTTGAAAAGCTGTCCCCCAGAAACAAAAGAATCCCTGAGATAAAATTTCCCACAGCAAAATGCTCCACCTGACTGAGGTCCGACCTGGGGATGTGAGAGCTGGATGGTCCCGGACACAGAGTTAGGTCTGTGCGGTTAAAGGCAGAATTAATGTTCCTTGTACTGAACTGAAATGGACAGATTTAAAAATCTTATCTTTTGTACTTCCATCTAAGCTACTTTAGGGAGTTTTCTGGCTATGAAGCACCTGAACCTCGAGCTGTAATTCAGAAATAAAGCCTATCTGCCCCTCTGTCCACCTTTCTTTCCATCCTTTTGGAAAAAAGCAACAGGAAAATTCTTTACTAAAGAGAGCACTAACGCAAGCGTGAGTTTGAATGACAATCAGATCAATAACCAATTTCAGAAAAAGCCTTCAGTGTTAAAAGAGAGGCAGGGGGAAGGTGCGGTGTGCTGTGACTGTGCACTTCGGTGGAAAGGTGCTGGGACGGTTTGCGCCCTGGGACAGTTGTGCCTCCCTTTGGGGTGGGGACCATGGGGGGCTCTGGTGCTGAGCCACAAAACACAGCAGCCCCTCGCAGGCAGACCCCAAGCAGCACAGGTGTGGGATTTGGTTCCCGCAGCATTTTAAGACAGTTTGAATTGCTTAGAGGCATTTTAAAATGGGAAACTTTCATACAAAAAAATTGTTTCTGGCTTTTCTGGAAAAGAGAAAAAAGGCCCTGGGCATGTGCGTCCCTATGGTGAGAAGAGGCTGGGACTGAGGAACGGGCCCCAGCGTGCCCTGAGGCCCTGTCCTCTTTTCCTTAGAGAGGCTGATGGTGACAGCTTGGGCCAGTTTATGTCTCCTGCCTGGTCCCTGTCGTTATTTGAATTTGTGACCCTTGTTGCTAAGATCCTTCCCAAAAGAAGGGCAGATACAACAAGGTTATTGCAGATTTTAAAAGTCGAACATTCTCGGTGGAGAGCCCAGACAACACCCTGGGAAACCACATGCTGGAGGAGCTGCAAGGGGCTCAAAACCTAGACTTCATAAAATTGACTTTCCTTTGGCACTTTTCCACGTTTAATCAGATGATTAAAGTCCTTGAAACATGTCAGCTTTTTCAGGTGGGCTGAGGTTAAGAAAAGGTGGAGAGGCTAGGGAGGGTTAGTGAGTGCTCTCGGTTCCGGAGCCGTCCGGGCGCAGGAGGGATTCTGGGCTGAGCCGGGGCTCCGCGCAGGACCTCCCTGGTCTTTCCGGGCGCAGGAGGGATTCTGGGCTGAGCCGGGGCTCCGCGCAGGACCTCCCTGGTCTTTCCGCCTGGAACACAAGGATCTTCTTTGGTTGTTTTTGGACAATTTTGCTTTATTCACGTTTGTCAGAGAGAAAATTTGGTTGGCTGAAGTGTGGGCTCTGAGAAAGGACTAAAAATAAGAAAACACTGAGATGGAAATGAAGACTCAGAAGACAAGAGACAATGATTTTCTTTTTTCTAAATCTTGGGAGAAATTTTTTGTTTTGTTTTGTTTTTTAATGGCAGGGGGAGCTAAAGCTTATAACACCCTTATAGAAGGAAAGGGATCCACAGTATGATTTGGGGACTGACTTCTTACCTATTCAGAATGTAACCTCTCTGTTCAGAAGCTTGAATAATTCATTTCACGGGTGACAAGTAGGCTGGCCCTGGAGGGACATTTAGTGGGTGCTCTTCGGTTATGATTTACTGCCTAAGCTAATTAATTGCAACTGGCCACGACCTATAGGCAAACATCACAGTCAGGTGCCAGCAGAGTCCCTCATTCAGGGACAGTGCCCCCGGAGAAGCCCAACTGGCTTCCTTATGGCCTGGGGGCTCTGTCTGTCACCCACCCCGGAGCAGGTACACCTTTGCTTCTGACAAACACACACACACTGAGCTCTGAAGTGAGGAGTGATATGGCCACACCAAAGCTTTAAGGGGATCCACGAAGGCGATCCCGTCGCCCAGCGTTTCTTGCTTGTTCCCAAATCCCCGTCACATCTCGTTATTCCCCAGATGCTTTCCGGAAATGTCCTTTGAGCCCACTCTCTTTACTTACTTTCTGTCCTCAAAATATCCTCAGCTTGCATTCTTGTCAGGGGGAAAATTATTAGACGTTTTGGTCAAACCCTGATGACCTGTCCTCTTAAGTAAGACCCCTTGGGTTTGGAGCTGGGAAGGGCATAATTCCTCAGAGTGAGGGCCAGTCAGGATTAACGCACTTTGGAAGCCATGGCTGGTGGTCTTCACACATCTCCTGCAACATGGACCCTCGTAGAAGACACTTACCTTTGAGCACAAATGAAGCCCAACCCTGGATTTCTGTGTAGAGCCAGAAGAAAAAACAAAATAATAAAATGTAAAGACCCTTGTTTATAAGGTATGGCCACCCCTGTCTTCTGCATATGGCTGAAATGGAGTGTCCTTTTCTTGAAGGACTGCCGGGTTTGGGGAGGTGAGGCCGGGTGAGGAATGGGAAGGCTGAATCACTCTGCTTTCGGGACGGAGCCTGCCAGGATGGATGCTGTGCAGAAGGTGGCAGGGGATGAGGGGAGACGGAGACCATGCTGCCCCCTCACCCAAGAGTCAAGCAGATGAGAGGGATGTAGAACAAAGGGCGTGTCCAGTGTGGACATTGAGGTTTCCTGCCGGGATCGGAGTAGACACACCGATTTGTAAAGTCCACGTTGCTCACCAATGCTTTTGTGTAAGTTGGTTCTTTTGGGAAAACTTGAAGAGGATGTTAAACTTCATGACTCAAGGGGCCTGAGGGTGCATTAAAAAAATGGGATGTATGGAGAGCAGCCATGAAGTGTCCTTAAGACTGTGCAGAAATGTTGAGGAGGCATCGGCTTCCCACAGCCTGGTGGAAAGCGAGGGGCAGGGTGCTGGGGTTCAAGAGACTTCCCTGCGATCGGGGTTTCCGAGCCTAGGGAGGCTCTGCAGACAGAAAAAGGCTCTTTTTGTTAATACCTCTCTCTCTTGCTCTTGCTCTTCAGGGTTGGAAAATAAGAAAGTTAAGGAGGTTGTCAGTGAGGAATTTGGACAGGAAGGGAGTTGAGGGGAGCCAGGGAAGGCTCAGGCTGAGGGTGCCAGGACCTAGCCGTGGACTTCCTGATGTCTGAAACCCGATGGAAACCCCAGCATTCTTTTAAAGGCTGCTTCCCCCAACTCCCCTGTGAACAGGGCAAGGCGTCTGCTGAGATGCCGCGGGGACCACGCGGCCACCTCGGCCAGGCTCTAACAGCCACGACTGTGCTTCCAGGACCTCTTTCCTGACGCAGTCTCTATCTACTGTCAGGACTGCTGTGAGTCTCAAATAAGACAACAGGTGGAAAGCGCCTAGCGTGGGGTTGTGTTGGAAGTGCTCTGTGTTACGTGCTAAATCATCGTCCGCAAAGTGAGGCCCCGAGCATCTGGCTGTTTTACTTTTAATATTTTTTTTTTTTATCTGGCCCATGTGAAGAGAGCAGTGTGCCATTCTGGATGCCGCTCTGAGGTTTGGTGAATGACCTCTGGTCCATCCTAGTGGAGGGCTCCTTGATTCTCACCTGAATCACTGTTACATCCCCCAGACAGCCTCACCCATTCCATTCTGTCTCATATTCAGGCTTGTCCCCATACCACAGCCTGAATGACGTTTAACAGGCACACCCAGTCCCTCACTCCTAGGCATTGATTTCCGTGGAAACCCACTACACTCTCAGGATAAAGCAGCACCCTCAGCTGCACTGCTGAGGGCCAGAGGTCCACCCCTGGCGGCCTCCCCAGCTGCCCACTCTGCTCCGTGCCTGGTGGGAAACTTCAGGTCGTGCATTTTACCTCTTGGGGTTCATCCCCCCAGCTTTGCATGAAGCCTCTTGTCCGGGCATCCCTGTGCATGCTCTTCCTACTTCTTGGAAAGCTTTTCCTCTTCTTCCCAAATTAGCAACATCTTCCATATGCTCCCACCCCCCATGGGAACGCTAAGGAAATTATTTGGTCTGTATATTTCAGCACTGGGGAGGGAAATACGA